GAGAGAGAGAGAGAGAGATTGAACAGGCCAGCGACGGCTTAATAATCTAAGGCTCTGACTTAGTTTTGGGTTGTGATCCGGAATTTACTAGTTGACACGTAAGCTTACGTGTCGTCGGAGAGATAAGAGACTTGAAGAGAGAGAGAGAGCTGAACAGGCCGGCGACGGCTTAATAATCTAAGGCTCTGACTTAGTTTTGGGTTGTGATCGGGAATTTACTAATTGACACGTAAGCTTACGTGTATAAAATTTTAAAATAGAAAAAATATAAACTTTTCATTGTGATTGTCATCAACACAATCATAACCTTCTTTCTCTCCATTATACTAAAAAAGATAATCTTAAACTTCATTCTTTTCTTTTATGACAATAAAAAATATCATAAACTTTTTTTTTCCCTTTTTTAAGATATAAAAACATATTTTAAATAGGACTTGTTCATTTTAAAATACTTGAACCTTAGACCTTTGATACTAACTTAAGCCTCGGAGGGATCATAACGAGAAATCTCTCACCGTTGATCGCTTGTGCAAGACTTCGACATATCTATAGAGTACCTCAGGATGACCCAGAGCTCCTTTCAGCAAACAAGCTGCACCTCGGAATAACCCCAAGCTCCCTTTAGCAGGCAAGCCACACCTCGGGGCGATTATAGGACCATCACTGTGAATCATCAATACATCGAGAGTTCACTTGCTATCTTAACTCCCCGCTATGCCGAGTTGCACCCTAACCCCAAGGGGGCCCCTTAGATGGATCTTTGCCTTTGGGACCGAATTAGGTTGCATTGGCTCCCTAGTCAACAATACCAAGATAACAACATTTTAACTTAGGACAAAATGTGAACTATCATATTGGCGCTAAAAGAAGGGCCTAAATATCGCGAGAATGTCCATTTACGACTCCTCCCAACAAACACCTTAACAAGGAGGTGACCTCTTTCATACTCAATTCTATTTGATTATGAATCATATGTAACCTACGAGTCTTGCCTTCAAGAAAAATTGATCAACTCTTTATTTAGTGGAACTGGAGAGAGAGCCACTGAGTTGCTACAATTCATACATAGTGATATATGTGGTCCTATGTCAACTCAGGTCATAGATGGTTATTCTTACTTCATTATATTTAATGATAGCTTCTCTAGGTATAAATATACATACTTGATGAAGTATAAGTCCGAGACTTTTGAGAAATTCAAGGAATATAAGAATGAGGTAGAAAACTAGATTGAAAAGAGTATCAAGACTCTTCAATTAGATCGATGATGTGAGTAATTAAGTACAAAATTTACCTAGTTTCTAAAAAATCATGAGATCTTATCCCAATGGACCCCTCCTTATACACCTCAACTCAATGGTGTATCAAAAAGGAGGAATCACACACTGTTAGATATAGTACGATCCATGATGAGTTTCGTCGACCTACCCATCTCGTTCTAGGTATACACCCTAGAGTTTGCAGTTTACCTTCTGAATAGAGTTTCAATTAAATCTGTAGTGTCTACACCATATGAGATATGTAAAGGAAAGAAGCCTGATCTTAAGGTTGTTAAGATTTCGACTAACCTACCTATATTAGAAGACATAACCCCGATAAGTTAGAATCAACGACAGAACGGTGCAAGTTCATCGGATACCCCAAGAAAAATTTATGGTTATTATTTCTATCACCTTGAGGAGTAAAAAGTTTTTATTGTCAAAAGGTCAGTGTTCCTTGAGAAGGAACACATTCTTGGTGGAAATAGTGGGAGTGTGATAAAGTTAAGTGAGGTTAGAGAACCTATCTCAAGCACTATTCCACATGCTAAGTCTATTCAAGCACCTAGCATACAAGTTTCAACTTTGCGTAGGTTCGACAAAGTACTCCACCCTCCTAAAAGATTTGTGGGACATATCAAAGGAGAGGGCATTGAAGATGTTGATCCTCAAACCTACGGGTAGGCTGTTACAAGCATAGACTCAAATAAGTAATAAGAAGTCATGAGTTCCGAAATGGATTTCATATACTTCCGAAAAACTTTTTCTCTCTAAATCCGAATAACCCTCGCTAAGAATTTGTCTAAGCAAGAACACATAGGATATTTCTCTCATGATATCGAGAGTGGATGATCCTCTATCGACACTCAATAGTCCTCGTAAGATTGGTTATCATTACTGATGACCGGTTATATTAGATTCGAAACTTCCAAGCCTATAAGTTCGGTATCAAAGAGTGGAGTACTCATACAAAACATCCTTTATGTCTCAAGTCTAAGGACCAGATACACCATTGGGATGACAGAATCGTTGTTTGATAATAAGGCATCATCAACTATCTAACATTCCGTGAGCGGATCAATTAGTGAACTCGTTCTCCAATGAGCACCTGCACTGTATCCCTAGTGTCTCCACATGAGCAGCTATGAGACCAACTACCTCCATCATATGGACGGGTATACAGCACACCAGTCTGTCCGATTATCTCGATGTCCCTCTCGAGTAACCTATGACTAGGGTTATTTAAGGTCAGTGTTTAAAGGTGAATCAGTCTCATTATCGTGATCTCATCATGATCCGATTTCCATTGCATAGGTCCATGAATATCATAATATATATTCATATAATAAATAAATTAAAGTGATAAAATATTAAATAGTATAATAAATAAAAAGAGTGCATGTCATATCACACGTGTCATCGCTCACGTGATTAGCTTGCAGGACACCTATGACTAGCAGATTGGTTTTAGGTCAAGTGAGAGATTACTAGTTATAAGTGCCCTATAAGCCAATTACGTGAGTGATGACACATGTGACATGTTGCGTAGTCTCTTTGGTTATTAAATTATAGTTATTATTATGATATTTTCTCATTTTGTATTGCTTGACTAATATATTGTGATGTTCTTAGATCTGTACAATGAGAATTAGACCATAATTAAATTATGATAATGAGACTAATTCACCTATAAACACAGATCCTAAAATATTCTCGATCATAGGTTACTCGAGAGAGATAACGAGTTAATCGAATAGATACTATATACCTATCCATATGATGGAGATAGTTAGTCTCATAGCTGCTTATGTAGGAACACTAGGGATATAGTGCAGGTGCTCATTAGATAATGAGTTCACTAAATGACTAAATGATCTACTCATAAAATGCTGGATAGTTAATGATACCTCATCGCCAAACAATGGTTCCGTTGTCCTGGTTGTATATCTGGTCCTTAGACTTGAGACACCAAGGATGCGCTGTATGAGTACTCTATTATTTGATACCAAACTTATATATCAAGAGATTCTAGATCTAGCACAGCCAATTATCAAGAGTAATAGCTAACCTTATGAGGGTAATTAAGTATCGATAGATGATCATTCACTCTCGATGTCATGAGAGAAATGTCCCGTGTGTTCTCGCTCAAACAAATCCCTAGCCGGGGTCATTTGGATTGAGAGAGAATGAGTTCTCCAACAAAATCTGATTAGAGCGAGACTCAAGTAGATTCTGTATGAGTCTGATAGCACAATGCCCGGTATATAATCTCTAGGATATTAAATAAATGATGGACTATAGATACATAATAACTGAGGGTAAAAAAAGCCAATGGATTAGATCTCCCTTATACTGTTTGGGGACTATGGTATAGTGGCTTAGTATGTCCACAATTGATGAGTCGAGTAAATTATCACAAAATGATAATTTACTAAATCAGAAGGAGTTCTACATGTATAATTCACAACCAACTCAGTATTGGCCTAGAAGGTCACACACATATGATGAATGACATGACGAATAGAATATTGGATATGTGATATTCAATAAGCCCTTATTTTATTAGATTCATTGGGTGAGACTCAATAAGAGCTTAGAGTGTATAATTGGATAGAGATCCAATTTTCATTAAGCTAGGGATAATTGGATAGAGATTCAGTATTCAATAGGGTAGGATCTATTAGGGCGAGCAGTATGAGCTCTCTATAAAAAGGGATATGGGACTAAAAGGGTTATAAGGCTAGACACCTTAGTCATCACCTCCATAACTTTCTCCCTACTTCATCACCCAACTGCCCCCTTTCTAGTATAAAGGGCAACGAGAAGGACTGCCCTTGCTGCGTGGTGGTGGTGCACGAAAGCGAAGAAAGAACACATCGTGAGAGAAGGTGGGTCACCGCTTCATCCATCGTGTGGATCACTATTAAAAAGGAGAACACTATATCTCTTTTATCTATGAACTAGGATATGCAGATCAGGGATATACGAGTTCCCTTAGGTGAGATCGTCTCACGTATTATGTAGTTTTCAAATTTGACAAGTTTTTCACTCTCGATCATCACACATGATTTAATATAAATCTATTTTTAGAAATTTATTTTATGTTTTGTTTTTCCGCTGCACATGTGATGCTCTCCAAAGTTTCCCAACATAATCTATAATGGTGGACTCCTACTCGTACAATGACGGTAGAGGCAAATTCCACAACGGTTGTCAACTCAATATTTGTAATGGTAGACTTCCACTCCTACAATGGCGATCGAGTCAAAATCCGTAATGACGGACTCCTACTCCTACAATGGTAGTCGAGTCAAAATTCACAACAATAGACTTTTGCTTCTGCAATGGCAATTGAGGCAAGATCCATGATAACAAACCCACCACATCGAGGCCTACACTCGTTACAATGGTCGATAGCAATACTCGCTGTAGTGGACAAACAAAACCACTACCACAACGTACGAACAAGCCTGCTACAACGGATAAACAAAAACCACTACAAACAAAGCTCATAAAACTCATCCTAAACACACCCGAACGGGACACACAAAACTGTAAAATTCAAGCTCGATTTAGCCAAACCCTTGAATAATGTGCCTCGCACCTTTTACTGGAGTCCCAAAACACGCCTTCCAAGGGGACAAATGATAAAAAACTTACCAAAGTTGATACGCAATCGTCACGTGTTATTCAAGTCATCTGACTACGTGTACAAAGTTTCAAAATAGAGAAACACAAGCCTTCTTCTCGTTTATTATGGCAAGAAAGACAACCACAAACTTTCTTCTCCTTTTTTATAGTGTAAAAACACAAAGAAAATGAAGGACTCACTCTTTTTGAAATACTAAACACATATTTGGAGACCTCGGATATTAACTTGAACATCGAAAGGGTCACGTAGGAAACCCTCTCAATTGTTGATTGCTTGTGTAAGACTTTGACACGTCTAAGGAGTACCTCGAGATGACCTAGAGCTCCCTTCAGTAGACAAGCCACATCTCGGGATGACCTCAAGCTCCCTTTAGTAAGCAAGCCATACCTCGGGTTGACGGTAGGACCATCATGTGAGCCAGCAATACATCAGTAGTCCACCTACCATCTCAGCTCCCCACTATGGGATCACACTCCCGCCCCAATGGGGCTCCTTGGATAGATTTTTACCTTTGGGATCGAATTAGATAATGTTGATTCCCCAACAATATTATGACTCAAGATAAAATATGACATATCAGGTCTTAATGACCGAAGTCATCAAACATCATGTACCATGTGCCATGGTATACTTGCCATAGCTTTGCTACGTGGCATTTGGCTCTGATATGGACTTCTTGTTTTTGGATTATGATCCTAAGTATTTGGCACTCGGCATGATACGTGTGATTGTTGGTTTCTCATCTCTCCTTTCTCATGTGATCAAAGAATACAAGTGAAGGATTGAGATCCGAAAATAACATATCTACATTATCATATCTTAAATACCCTGTGATTGGAAATTATTTTTGAATTTCTAAAGTCAATGTAATTAAAGAATAAAAATATTATTATAAAAAATATTTCTTTGTGAAGTAAAAAAATCTTTGAAAATTAAGATTTAATTATTATAAAAATATACCACATGTTCTTATTTTTGGTGGGATAAATATGTAAGAAAATGCTCCAAGATTTGAGGAAAAAATAAAAAAAAATTATTTATGATTTATGTGATATGATAAAAAAAAAGAGATTGACTCAATTGTGCTCATAATTAATCTTATATAGTAAACATTTTGATTTTTTTAGGGAGGTCGATAAGAGTACAGAGTCACACAAATCTTGTATCAGTTTTTTTTATATGTTATTTGATTCTTAATTTTTAGGATTTCCTTTTTAAGTTCAAACCCATCTCTCACCCAATACTACAAAAGAACATGAGATCTACGCATAATTTGTAAGTTTGTATTCTAGGATGTTAACCTCTTGCACGTTTATGATTGAAACTAATCACGTTTTTATTAGAAACTATTGTCAAAATGTTTGGATTTATAATGTCGTGGACGAATAACATTTCCGTATTATTATAATTAATCTTAGCACTCTCTAGTCGCTCCTCTTTAGCTCTTTTCATACCTTCACTTCTCATAATCCAATAAGATTCAATTTAAAACTAGTTCGATCTAATTCGATTCATCAATAAATTAGTTTTAAAGACTATAAATAGTTCTGATTCAGAAGTACCCTTCTTTGATTAACTAGTTCGAATCAAATTAAATTAATCTTAATTTAAAAAATATCAATTTGATTATGTTCACTATCCTAAGCTCTTAATTGATTTAAATCTATTAATTAAACCATTATAAAGGCTCAATTTTACAAATGATGCGAGTTTAAATTCATAAATCTTATCGTGTGGGATATGAAGAAGAGGAAGAAAGGAAACTAAGGGTGAAATGGAATGAAAGAGGAGAAATTAGGGAGGCTTCGTTTCTAGGGAATTCATATCAGAGATCAGAAAATAAATTTAGGTAGGTTTTGGATTATTAAGCTTTCCTGATAATTAGATTGTTAAATAAAAATATTAATTATCTAATTTTAGCTTCCTAAGTTAATACAATTCTTAATAATATTAACTCTTAATTAGCATTAGCTGGGTTCTCATGAATAAAACAAAGAAAAGGAGGCAAACTAGAGTTGCACTTAAGTAGGAATTAACAGAGAGATAAAGCATGTTTAGCAAGTTGTAATTGTGCTTACAGGGCATGAAGAATAATTAGAAATGGTACAGTGAAAAAAGAAGAAAATAAAATAAAAATCAAAAGTGAATCATATGTGCTATTTGTTTATGTTTTATGGGTGATTAGCAAATAATATCTTTTTATATATAATTAAGAAAATCAGATTAATGACTATTAAGTGAGTTAAGGATCTACCATCCATGTAATTGTCAATATCTCTAACCTATTTTAATAGTAATATACATGTATTTTCAATTAGTGTATATGCTTGAAGATTATAAAAATGCATGATTTTGAAAGCATCAGTTCAATGTTTTAATTATTCCAAAGGATTAAAAATGATTGATTTTTATTAGTTTTAAATGTTATATGAATCATTAGATTTGAAATAAAAGATAAAAGAGAATTTATTCAAGAATTTAGTTTTCTAAATATATTTGATACGTGATATTGTAAGGCTAGTATGGGGATGACGCGGGCGCCGTGGCCATCACCTGGTCGAGGATGGGGATGACGCGGTGCAGGTAGGCAGCCATCTCGGTGAAGCTGTGGTGCTCGACGAGTACATCGCAGGCGGCGCGGATGGTATCATAAGCGGCTTGGACAGCCAGGGAGATGAGCTCGGAGACCGGGACAAGGGCGGCGTTCGTGATCAACTCCGCCGTGGCCATCTTCCCGTCGTCTCCTAATGAGTTGCCGAGGTCGCAGCGGAGAAGAAGCCGCTCTACTCGGCCAAGAAAAGACGCCAAGAAAGAAGCGAGTAAGCGAATGTTAGCGGTCAGCAATGAGAGGGGAGGAGGATGGGAAGAATAGCTTACGTAATCGGCGGTCATCGAATAGTGGTCAGTCGCCCGTTTGCTTCACATAATCACCGATTTGGCACGTGTATCACGTGCAAAAAATCCCTCCAAAAGAATATGACGTCATTAAAAATTGAAGCAAATTATAGTATCTTCAAAATTATGGGGATATTAATTTAATTTGTAAAGAGGGCAAATTCATGTAATTGAATGCCTTTATTGTCTCCATTTTAGTTTTTCCGTATTTCATCCATTGACAATAAAATTAGCATTAAAGAATATAGATTTAGGAGGAAGGGATTTAAGGAGACTCGCCCGATTTGGGCCGAGTCAACGAGTCTAGCGATCCATCTCGGCCCATTTGAAGGTAAGGTTTCTGCCTAACTTAGATTTCAATTTCCCGTGAAATTACTAACTTGCCACCGTCCCTCTTCTTCACGTTGTTCCCTTCGTTGCCCCCTAAACCCCAACGTTCGCTATTCATTCTACCGTTCCACCTTCCCTCCTCTCCTCTCCGATTCGAATGGAACCCACCCGATCGAGCGGCAGTGCTGCGGTCGATGACGGCGATGGCGAGGGGGGTCGCGGTCGAGGAGGTGGATGCGTCTATTGCGCCGCCGGTAGGAGGCGGAGGTCGCAGCCACTCGCGAGGGGAAGAGGCGCTTCTTTCTCGAGAGCCAAGAGAGCGGAGAGGGATGACACCTCTCCTTTTTCTTCTTCTTCTTCTTCCTCCTCGTCATCCTCCGTCCGTCAGCTGCCGCAGCAGAGAGGGGTGCGTTTGAGGAAAAGAAACCGTGGTCTCTGGGTGCCTCCTGGCGGCCGTGGTAATGACTGCGTCCAGGATCTTGCTCTTCCGCTTGGCATGTCCTTTGCTGCCGTCGTTGCGCAGGTGCGTAGGGCTTTTACGGTTTGTAAGAGTCTGTTTTGTTTGCGAAGTTCGTTTCTTTCTGATGATTTTGATTACTCCGAATCAAGATTTCCATGTTATTATTCGAAAAGATCATTGAATCGATTTTTTCTTCATTCTTGATATGATGGATCAAATATTCATGCCTCTTTTTCTATCATGGTGTACATGCGCGATGTTTTGCCCTTCGTTGTGCATATATTTATCGTATAGACGCGCTAGGCATTGATCCCAGCACCTGGCGCGGCTAGGATCAAATAGCTGATCAGTTGAAACCAACTTGGATACTCATGGGTTATGTTAATTTCGTTGTATGATGACAGTGGAAGAGAGAGAATGCATGCCAAATTATGACTATGAATGCAATTACCTGCTAACCATATCTTTCCTGGATTATTGAAAATAATTTAACTCAGATATTAGTTGAATTATGTATTATTTAGATTGGATATATTTTAGCAAAAATAATGTGGTTAAATCTTGAGCCGGAGTTTTAAATATCAAAAAAAAGTTTGAGAAAACAGAAGGTTTTCACAGATAATTGAAATCCATGTTTTGTTATCTTATTGGTCTAATTTAATGCGTAGCTTTCTGAGAATGTTCTACCTTCATAAGTCTTGAGTTTTGTAATTATCCAATCTCTAAGGGTGACAGGATCGCTTGTCATTCATCATTACTAGTTTCACTTGCTGACATTTTGGTGTATAATAATCCATGAATAGGTGTATTATCCAATCTCTAAAGGTGACAGGATCACTTGTCATTCATCATTACAAGTTTCACTTGCTAACATTTTGGTGTATGATAATACATTAATAAGTGGAGGAATTGGCATGGTATGTACGGCTAAAAGCAACCATCAAATGATTGTTAGAAGAGACTGGAAAAAGAGACTAAATGATGCTCTTTTTCTTGGATAGGTACTTTATCTGAGAGTCCAAATGTTTCTTTTCATTGTTGGCATCATCTATAAACCCTTTTGCTCAAGAAATGACTTTAAGTAGTTTTGGACTAGTTGACTGGAATATTTGATAATCTAGATAGTTCATGCTAAAGGTAGACTGAAGCAATAAACAGATTTGATTGGTGAGATAATGACTTAATGTGCTGCTGTTCCTAAGAATATGAATACCCTTGAAACCATTGAATCATCTTAGCTGTAGGGTTGGGACACTGTTATATATCCAGTGTTAATATTCTTAGTAAAACTAAAAAAAGATACTGTAAACCACAAAGAAAAAAATGTAACATTAAAGATATGTGTAATGAATAACATGTACAAATTCTTGAATGAAGCAGATATGAAAAATGAAGTATGCATAAACTAGAGTAGACCCACTGATTTAGAAACTTACATGAATATTAAAAAATCAGAGCAGATTCAACACCTGATAATATCTTCTGGATAGAGGCATCTGAAGTAAAGTTTTTCACATAGCACTCTTAGAGAATATTGTGTTTTTTCAAATGAAAATAATTGCTTGGTTGTTTGCCTGACAACTAACTATAAACACCGGAGTCAATACTAACACAAGAAGTAAACAAATATATAAAAGATAACATCTAAGTAGTACTCCAGATGCATCTTTTAGCAACTTGATTAGTATATATCTCTATTATTTCCATTATGCCACATCCTTTTGTTATCTCTCTTTAGTATGAGTGTAATACTTATTGATCTTCTTATTTTAGATGGTTTGTGTAGGCTATTCTGGAATATGGCATGAAATGTCCAAACTAGATAAACATGATATATACATAAAAGTGCAGCAAGTTTAATGCATCCTATTATAAAGGATTGGTACTTAGGTCTTCATTACAATATGCATCTTAGACTAAGCAGAATGATAAAAAAATGATCATACAAGATCAATTTGACTACATGAATCTCAATGTGGAACTTGTAAATTACCGACAGCATTGTTGATAATGGAAACAAAGAGAATACAGCATTGCTGATAATGCAGAAATACATTTGTACATGTCTAGAGCTTCATGACTATACAAGCTAACTTAAGGTGAAACTTCCATTGTACTAGCCCATCAATTTGGCATGTTTATAAGTTCCATTAGATTAGCACAGCAAACATTTTAGAAATCTCCTACTAAAAGATCTCACATTTCAACCTAGATACATTATGTTTGATAGGAAATTTGAAGGAGAATATTATAATCACTTAAAGGAAAAGAACCACAAACTATTTCTAAAACAAAGTACACAAGTAATTTTAGAATATAGAGAGGAACTTCTAAGAGACCATGATGTTTAGAGATGAAGAAGTGGCAGGAGCTGGGTGGGTGGGGCTCTAAGAGAGCTCCATGTTTAGAGATGGAGCAGTGGCAGAGGCAGATGGGAAGGAAAGTTGAGCCCCAATTGCTGACCCCAAATTTCCATCTGTCAGCTACCTTCTGACCAGAAAAGCCCCACTGGTGAATCCACTTGTAATTGCTACGGGTGGGAGGAGGAATGCCTACTGGATGGAGAGGTTCCATTTATAGCTCAAATGAGTTCTGTTTTTAAATTTATACTAGCTAAAACAGGTCTTGGAAAATTCAATCAATAAGCCCAATTTTTTCCAAGTTTCAGAGATCTTTTGAAAATAAGTATCAATTTTCAACACATGAATGTTAACGAGTTCTACCACGGGCGAATTCCGACACTCACTGTACCCCCACATGGGATTGATTTCAATAAAGAGTCTGATTCATCTACTTTCCCTGCCAACAGTCACAGCAAAATAATGAAATTATGTCGACCATAGTCCGAAGTGAATTCATTATCATCTCTAATCAATTGGACCAAGAATGACATGCCTCATGCATGAGTAATGTCATTAAGTTTTGTGTACCAAGAATGATTGCATTTTCTAGAAGGTTAATGATGATGGAAAGGTACCAGTTTGATTTTCATGTTAGTCATACATTTTTTTTATTACATCAAATTTGTTGCTTCTTTGATCATCTGGTTCATGTATGACAATTGATCCTGGGATGCTTTTTTTTGTTTTCTAAATTAGTTTAATGATTATTATAGGTTGAGAATGTATCTGCCGACCAAGCTGATTGCATGACAAGTAAAACTTTAACTGGAAAGAGATTTGTTGTGAACATAGGGAAATTAAGCATATCTGCTAGCCACAGGAATAGTTAAAAAATTGAGTTATTTTTTAAAAAATTAAGTATATCTACTTTTTAATTTAAGTGGTCATTTCGTTGATGTATGGAATTTCTTGGTTTCAGGTTTTATATGGAAAGAACATCACAGGAGATAGGATACAAATAGATTGCCTTTCAATGGTACACTTCAGACATCTGGGATTCATATTATCAGAGGTTTTATAATTGTCTGATATGGATATACTGCTGTCTGCAGGTCTGTACTTCAGCGGTGAAAGAATCTATAACAAATGTAAGTCTGCCTCTAAATCTATCATTTTCTCTTGCTGCAAGTTCTCAAATTTGTGAACTTTCTGTTCTTAATTTTGAACAGGTATATGGAAACAAGTTTGATTGTTTCATAAGAAACTTTGATAAGTCATTTCAGAGTACATTGAAGACCCTTGGTTTGATTAACGAAGTTTCTTTTAATAAGCAAGAAAATACTGATTGCAGTTCATTCCTGTGCAACAGTAGTGAAAATACAGCTGACTTAAGCAGCTCTGAACCCATCGTGACCACTGAAGATTTGGAAGAAAATATAATATCGAATTCTGTGAACAGTCAACTCATTCTTCACGGGTATACAAATAAGGATCTTGCAAATGTTAATCGTACCACATATGGTCTTGGGTTCAGTCAGTCTATTCTGAGTACAGTGGAGAAATCTGTTATTGAACAGACTCGCTCTAATGACCTCAAGGCGGTTGAGATAGGTCTGGTCATGAAAAAGTTGCAACTGAAGGAAGCTCAGCTGGCTCTTAGTTCTGATGCAAATTTCTTAGAGAAGTTTAAGATATCAATGGGTATCTCAAAGGCTTCCTTTAAAGAAGCGAAATTAAGGAATCAAATGCAGGAGACCATGAATGCACAACTCTTGAAAATATGCATGGATCTCCTAATCACTGGGTTGATTATCATGTGCAGCTTGATTGTATATGGGGCATCCGTCTACTCTTATCAACGTATCACGGAGGTCACATCTGCCTGCACTTCTGCCCCTAAGGTACATCCTAGCTCATTTGATGTTCTTGACTTGTGTGCTGGTGTTTTATGAATCAGAAACTTAGTGGAATGGTTGTTACTTTTCAGGAGTCCAGATCTTGGTGGATTCCAAATACGGTGAAATCTTTTAGTTCAGGCTGGCTGGTGCTGAAATGTCAATTTGTGGCCCTAGCCCGTGTGTCTTTTGGAATATTAATGATTTTAGCAATGGCTTTTGTGGTTTTCCAACGGTCCGCAACGTCAGCTACAACTATGCCTGTGACATTTATTGTTCTGCTACTAGGTGCTCTTTGTGGCTTTTCTGGTAAGCTATGCATTGACACATTAGGTGGAAATGGATACCACTGGCTAATTTATTGGGAAGCACTGTGCATGCTCCACTTCATTGTCAATGTGTTCCCATCTGCATCTTACCATGTTCTTTATGGCCCGGTGTCCATCTCGGAAGGAGCCAATTCAATCAAGTTACCGTATCGGATAAGAAGATTTACATTCTATGCTCTTCTGCTGCTGGTTCTTCCCGCATCAGGTGGTTTATTGCCATTTGCTTCAATCTATGACTGGAAGGTGCACTTCTCTGAGAAGTTAGCTTTATGGACTTCAGGCATTGGGTTATGAAGACTGAGATATGTTGGAATTGTAATTATGTCTCATGAAAACAGTTGTCCTCCTCCTTTATGTTTTGCTGGGCAGTGGGGCCCATCCGTTGGTGAAGATGTATCAGGTGATTATCTAGAGATATTATTTATGCTAATGATGTGTTTCAATGTAGTTTCCTATTTATTATATAGGAATCCGAGAAGAATTCTTGATCTTGTTGTCTAACTTATAACAATTGTTAATCTTGTTCAGTGTGGTGTTCTCACAATAATACAGCCAATGTTCTTGTGATGTTATGTATTGTTGATACAGTCAATCCTGTGATATATATGATTTGACCTGATTGATCTTTGAGTGTTGCTGTGTTTCAAAATGGAAAAAAGTTGATTGTTTTTTGAGATGATGTGGTATAAGAGTCATAATTTTATGATGACAAACTATGCTCATATTCTGTTTTAGCCCATTCTTTCAAAAAGATTATGTGGATGATCAACTTACTCAAAGGAGCAAGTTGATGATTTTATTATATTGGATATGAGTTTTGATGATCGAAAATAATGATGGATATGAGTTGCAAATTTAATGAATATTACTAGACAAACTTATGAATGATGATCAAAATGGGTCAGCCGAGTTTTAATGCAGATGTTTGGTCCCCAAAGTACAGTGGCCCACTAAACTCAACATGTTCCCCGGAGTTCCATCATGGTTCGTGCAGGCCAATTAACCCCAATCCTAAGCCAGGCGTCTCCAATTACTTGGCCCACCCAACTCGGCCCATGGAAGTGCACCCTAATCGACGGTCGTGATCGATCGACCCGGTGCAAGTATTTACATAGAAGAGATAAATCACATTCAAATCTTTCTTTAGCCACACGGCCTCCGTGATCTTTGATTTCGCTGTGTTCCAATTAAAGGCGTCGGGTGTGTCTCGCCCTAACGAGCCCACAAGGCAAGTTATGTACGCATACCCACCATCATCGCCATCATCATCGTAGGTTTTCCCAAGCCGAAGGAAACCGCAACTGCAGCAAAGCGAGCCACCGAAACCGTAGCACAATACACAGCGAGCGAGAGCGAGCGTTCTTTTGATTCGACTGACACACGACGAAAGGAGAAGAAACCAAGCAATTCCCCGCTTCCTCCTCCTCCAATTCCTACATAGATCACGCATTTCTCCCTTCTTGCCGCCGCCGCCGCCGCCGCCGAACCGATCGAATCGAGTTATTGTTCGTTGGATTCCTCTCTCTCCGCCATAAGATTTCTCTGTCACTCGGCCCTTTTCCGTTTGTCTTGTCTTCTTATCGGATTACTTCTCGCAACACCAACCTGAAGTCTGTTAGGGTTCGAGCTCATCGCAAATTTCCGGTAATCTTGGAGTGGGGAGTCTTTTTTTCGCTTCCTCGACCACCCCTTTGTTTGGTGTCTAGGGTTTGCCGTTCTCGATCCCGAGCGCTTGTCGTTTTTTGGGATTCATCATTGCTTGGATGCTTGCCCTTTCTTGGCCATTAGGGTTCTTATCTTCATGTGCGTTCTTTGAGTTGTTAATTTGACGGTTTCCCGGGGAGCCGTCTTCGCCTGGTTTTCGATCGTGGATGCTTCAAACGCGTAAATCTTGATTATGTGCGGAGAGAAAGGCGTTGAAACTCAGGCAGATTCTGCGTTTTGACTGGAGGGGTTTTGCACAGTTTAGATCTTTTTGGCAGATTAAATCTTGTACTTGTATGATGCTAATTTAGAGATCATGGCGGCAGCGTAATCACAAGCTTCACCCTTTCTTGGGCCAATTAGTGCGATGGGCATCTTCTGAGAACATACTTTGTACAGGAAATAACACTCTATATATAAGTTATTTACAATTGGATCCAGAGGCAAAGGGTCTTAACTGTATATTGATAATGGTCTGCTCCGACAATGGAGCGAGGTGAGCCAGCATTGGTTCCACAGTGGTACAAATTAGCAAATGGGAGCACCTCCAACAATTCCCTGCGAACAAGCTCTTCTAGACATTCCGGTATGCGTTACTCTACAGCCATTATAATTCTAATCGTATTTTTTATGAAATTTTCTTTTATTGGTATGACTGTAACAATCTTTTCTTCTAATGCAATGTTTGAATTCCCGTAGATGAAAATGGTGTCGGGGTTGGATCAAGAAATATATTATTTGCAGACCAAGATCGGAACTTGCGGCGGAGTTTGAGCTCTAATGGTTCTGTAAGTCGCGATAAAGGTAGCTCTGGTAAGTCACAGGCTTACAGTAGTTTTCGAAGGTCTCGTGATAGAAACCAGGAGAGGGATTTTGATTCCTGTGATAGGAAAAATAGGTCAGTTTTGGTTGACAATGGACTCGACCATCTTGATTCATTTCTGGGAGTTAGGTCTGAAAAGGATGCCTTGAGGCGCTCCCAGTCTATGATAGCCGGAAGGCCAGTCGACTCCTGGCCCAAAAGAGTTGGAAGCAGTGCAAATAACAGTGCTCCATCTGGAGAAAGTGCTGTTGGAAGTATTAGCAAAACCTTCTTTGAGAGAGACTTTCCATCCCTTCGAGCTGAAGGGAGGCAAGGTCTTTCAGATGCAGTTGGTGTATCACCTCTTGGTCTTAGAACTGCAGTTCAGAGTCTTCCCACTGGTTCTCCCATCATAATTGGAACTTCAGCTCTGGCAGAAGTACCTGTAAAAGTTGAAACTAGTGCAGCTGTTCTCTCTCCCATTCTACAAGGTGCTCCTATTAGTCAGGCATCTGCAGCAGGAAGCACCATGACAGGATTAAACATGGCAGAGGCATTGGCTCAGCCAGCATCCCAAGTTGTTAAAACACCTCAGGTAATATATAGAATGAGATAAGATATTGTTTCTTCTCTTTTGAGGGTTTTTTTATTAACATGGTGCTTTTTTTGTATAATTTATGTACAGTTATCTGTTGACACTCAGAGGATTGAGGAACTTACGCTTAAAAAGTGCAAGCAACTAATACCAATGACTCCTTCAATGCCTAAAGCATCAGTATGATCACTTCCTTGATTCTTGGCAAGATATGGTTTCTTTATTTTAGACTATGTATATATTGATTCTTTATCATGTTTCTTGGTGCTTGAGTTCCCTAATGAGAAGGATCTGTTTTTAAGCTTCATGACTGACCTTACTAAAGAGCTCTTAGATAAATATTTCCCACATAAGATTAGAAATGTTTCATATCATTGAATTTGATTATAAGGTAGTTCTTATTTTTCATTCTTGCAGAAATGTAAAGTAGGATAAGAGTTTAGATTTAAGTTTCAATATAGTACACCATGACATGTGCTGCATGATGAAGCTTGTGGTGAATTCAGAAAACACAAACATTCAAATTATGATGTTGTGGTGCTTCTGACATAGGAAATATATTCTGTAAAGGCAGTTATACATTTGATGTGATGTACAAAATTTGGGTGCTAAGGTGTGCAACTTCAAATATTCATTGTTTATTTTCATATACCTCATTTCAATTTTACATTTAAGGTGGACTTTAGGTGATTCTGATCTTTGGACTGTAGCTTTTGGCATTTTTTGTTGTACACTGACATGGCCTCTGGAAGTTATGTCAGTCGGTTGTAATGGAATAGCTTTTTAGAAGACATTATGATGAACTTTCAGAAATGGATGCTAAATGGATGCAATGTATTTAGGGTTTGTTTTCCTTTTTCTAAAAAGTTTGTTTGGTGGGTTTTCCTTTCTATCCCAATGTCCTGTCCTATTTAATCACAATGTTCCAATCTTAATTTGAATTTGATGGTTGTGGTGGGTACTTTTTTGTTTTTCTGAAGTCTCAGAAATAAAGCTCCTATTTCTGAAGTATGAGAAATAAAGCTCCTTTACAAGTTAGCATTAAGAAAATTCTTTTAGGGTCCCTGATCAGAGGGTTATTGATATAATGATGCATGATTCTTATTTTTGTCAGATAGTCTCCAGTTCATCCTATTGAAACTGAGATTAACTAGAGCAAATGCTATACTTACTTTTATGCAAAAGGACCAAATTAAGACACAGTTGAACATTCAATAATTTATCTATTAAAGTGTACAAAAGAGAAGATCTAATATCTTGTATGGCCTTAGGCAAGGATTAACTCTTGGTCTTGTACCAATTTCAGTCAGTCGGATCAATATGATACCAGTTAATTGGTCAATATACTGATTTGTATCACTCGGTATTATTCTTGACGCTGTTTGGTATGACCATTCTGACCAGCATTTGAAACCTTGATGTGAGGGTTAACATCCTTTTCTTTTCAAATATGTTCCTTTGAGAAAAGTAAACTTTTTTTTTCTTTTGTATTTTTATTCAAAGGAAAAGGATAGTACCGTTCTTTATCATGTACAAGTATTGTTTTGCTGGTCTCATGTGTTTGATCATTCTGGTGGTTTTGATCAATTTTGGCTTATTAGGCTGGTTTTCAACCATTAGAGTGTCATTTCTGGTTGCTTCTGGCTGATTCTGGCAAATATAAGGTTGACTATAAAAAGTTCTGTCAACAATTCAATCTAGACAACTGGAACAAATCATCCAAATCCATCTGGAGTGTAGAATGATTAAGATATTTGTTGCAGTTTATTTATGCAATTGTAGAAATACTTTTCCGTAAAAGCTACAGACTGGATCTGAGTAGAAGGGGAAGTTTGTACATCAAGGGAAGGCACAAATTAGATCCTTAACTTTAGCAGATGCAACCTATTATTCTTTTTATTGGCTCATTTTTCATTGGCCTTTAAATTTACAATAAGACTCCATAACTTATTCACATCTATTTTATGTATTTTATTCTTTTTGAAACATCAACACATCCTACATATTTTATGTAGTTTTGCCTTAAGTTTCCAAATTTTATATCTATATTTTTACATTATTTACAGTGTGTTTTTTTAATTTTGTTACTGGAACTGTATCAGCCTGTTGTCAGATTGGTACGCTATCAGCATTCTGATGGTGTGCTGACCTATACCAATCAGAAAAAAGCTATCAAAATACTGAAAAATCAGGGGGGAAAAAGAAGAGAGGGTGATGCATGTCCATTCTATTTCTTTGTCAATTGCAAGTTCTTAACTCTTGATTTATACTTTATCCAAGGATGTTTAGTAGTACTGTCAGGTATAAGTTTATATATTGATGTGCATCTATTGCAATGTTGATAGGATATGGGTTCCTATGAAGTTTATAAGTAGTTGAATTGTTCT